ATTGCTCCCTGGCAGCAGTGGAGTTAAAATTATTTCCAATTATATCACCAGGAGTTACTGGCACTACTCTCAGACACTCTCCTGAGCTCAGACAAAGAAATGATAAATATTCCTTTGTCTAGAACACAAATACTCAGCTATCCACACACAGATTAACCCTCTAACAACAAAATATCACCCAAAATCTGCCCTCCTCCCTTCCTGAGGCACACATGGGTGTCACCAGGCCAGATGCTGGGGAAGAGACAGCAGCAATAAATAATGCTCCAGCAGCAATAAATAAACTCCAGTGCTCAGCAGAAGTAAATCCACAGAGCTCTCACGTCTGACTTCATCTCTGCTGAGCAGGGCTCACACGCTGGATGTGAAATGAGTTTGAAATTCTTGCTTGAGGAGACTCTTGTAATAAAAGAGCTACTCATTTCCTGAAGATTTCTGATTTAGCAGAACTTGGTAATTTTAGAAATGCATTACAACCTGGTTTAACGTGTTAACTCATGGGATCTGCAGAGAAGAAGTGTTTTCAAATAAGTCACTGCCATATATGCTTGGAACCATTATTGGAAGTTGGATGTCCATGCCATTTTTAATTCATAATTTTTAAACAACAACAAAAAAGAACCCCATCCAAAGTCACAAACATTATAGACTATTTACCTGCTAATTCTTTCTTGCATCAGAGCTGTTCCTGCATTACAAAAGTGTAATAAAAATCCCCACACTGCTAAGAACTAGTAAACATTTTTCTTCATTTGCATAAACAAGAAACCCCAAACAAATGCAAAGGCCAAGAACTTTCCCTRGCCAAGAACTGGTTAAATAGTTTGAAACTATGCTCAAGATTTCCTGAAAACGTATTTGTCTTTCAGCCAAACAATACTGTTAAWGCAATGTAAATGCTTTGCTTCAAAAATGTGCTTTTTTTTTTGTTCACAGAGAGCAGCAGCATAAAAATAAATCATCCATGAAGCATATTCTCATTTTTAATTTTATCCCTTGACAGATCAGTTGYTTCAAAATCCCTTAACAAGCAAGGAAAGGAAAGGACAGGGTTCACATTGTGAGGATTGTCGATTGTACAGACCCAGGGCTGCTAATCCACGGGCAGATTTATGGGCCACTTCCKTCACGACCTGAAAACACTGGATTCCATTAACACCAACCATGAATCTTTACAGGAGTCTGCAAGGCTGGAAAGGCATTTCCCTGCCTTCTCACACCTTGCTTTCCTCTGGCAAAGCCAGCTGGGATCGCTCAGCAGGTCCTAAACAACTAAGTCACAGAAAAGGAACAAATTTTATATTTCCAGGTGACAACAGTGAACAAATCACCCGATTTGGGCTATCACCTAAAAGCACATCAGTGCCAATCTCACCTTGCACTGTGAGATCASGTTACTGCAGGACTTGAAAATGAAAAAACCCAAAAGAGGAGTTTACCATGCAACCTTTGAARGGGTTTAGCATGCCCTGGGTAGGGGAGGGGGGAAGGAATCCACGCTGAGTTGGAATCTGGCACAATGAACCTGCTTTTCTCCTCAGCTCCGCCGCAGAATGAAGAGCAAAGGGTGTCCAGCTGATGCTTTGATGCCTTCACTCCACAATTAAACGTGCATGTTCATGGATTTGCTGTTTTCAGGAGGTGGTGAGAGTTTGAATTTATTATTAGGAAACAAAAACATTTCACTTAATTGTTTAACATGCGAGATTTTCATGAGGGAACGAAGGTTAGTTACATTTCCAACAGGATTTCAAAACTACATTTTGCCTATTCAACTCTAAGCCAAATGTAAGGCTGAAAGGTTGAAGAGACTAATAAAAGGAACAGAAGTTAGAAAGACAATAACAATATAGTACCTAAAAATGGGTAATTCACACATTTTTGACATTTGTGTCTTGCATAGACAGATACTTATTCATTTTTTTCCTCCCACGACGACTCAGCTTCAGAAAATAAAATGTTAAATCAACTTTAATTACAATTAAACCCATGTGTTCCAAATTTTCAAAACACCACGGTGTTCTGGATTTTTGTCTGCTTAAGTGCAACTATCATCCCTTGGAAAGGCTTTGTTTCACCCTGTGGGCTGCCAAGTTCATAAAGTCAGGAAGGTGAACTCCTGATTCTTCCAGAAACAAATCCATGTGTTATTTCAGACATTTCACAGAACCCACAAGGAGCCCARCTCTCACTGAATGGCTCACAAAGGGATCAAATTCTGACCTTGGTGTCACTGGCACCGTGCATTTGAGCCAATCTCAGCTCAGGAGCTGGGGTTTGAGCCACGTGTGCTCCTACTCCACTCAAATATCCATARACCTGAAGCTACTTTGGAAGCACAGGAACTGGGAACTACAACTCCTCACTGCAGTTCTGGCTTCTGGCTGCATTTTGAACGTCAAAAAATAAATGTGTTGCACACCAGGTCAACATGAAATCCCTCCCTGCCAAGCCCTTCATCCCTACCCTGGTTTCCACTGGAAGARCCAGGTGTGCAGGCAAGGCAGAGCTGGAGGGGTCTCCAGAAAATTTCTGACAGGGATCAGGTACCAGAAAAAGGAACAATTCCTTGGCAGTAAATGCAGCCTGACATGGATCCCTATGGAGCTTCCCTGGGGTCAGCAGGACTCCACTGCAACACAATGTCCAAGGTRGAAAACCTTCTGCAGAGCCAGAGTTGATTCTGAATATTTTCCAGCGTGATTATTTTTTTGTAACAGTCATTCAGAAACTTATCCTGATCRTTTTGGAATTGATTTACTGAACTGCAATGCTTCCAAAGTTAAAAAGAAARAAAAAAMCAACAGAAAACTGCCTTGCCTGTTCCAGGAATCTTGAAAAAATTGGACTGAGAACCTTGTTTTGSGTTAGATTGAAAAAAAAAAAGAAACTAGAAGTTTAAATAATCGTATTTGCAGGAGAATTATGTTGATTAGGAAAACAAAATAATTCTATTGCATATGAATATGACTTTAACTGGGGGCAGGGGGGGGGAATTATATATGGACTTGAAGTTAGGTCCCCTATAAAGACTTTTAAACTAATGTAAACATGTACCTTTCCTGAATGGTGATGCTTTGCTGAAACCAGCAATCTTTCTCACACAGCAAAAAAAATAAAAAAAGACTCTTTGTTTTTAGTTTTTTCAAATAATGAAAAGAACAAGCACTTCCCTGCAGTTCACACCCACTAGAGAATTCTCACGGAATTAAAAGAAGAGGTTTGMGTTTCGTATGTTAAGCAATAATTTTATATTGGTGAAGCCTTTTCAGTGTCAGGAATTCACATCCCTGTATTTTTTTCTAATGTTTCTAATCTGACAGTGAAACAATTCCATATTCCCTTTYCATAGTAAACTCTGTAAACTTCAGTCTCCAGGTATTGATAAAGTAGATGAAGACGAGGTCACAAATGTTTTGGAAGAATAAAACTTCTGCTGCAGGTAAGGTGGGGGGAAATATAATAAAAAAAAAAACCTAACTAGAAAATGGCTTCTTTCTGAAAAATAAACTTCCAGAAGTTTGCAAACCCTGAGGCTTGGTTGTTTCCAATTGAGTTTCCAATAAAAACCCCAAACAAACCAAGAAATATAACCTGCTATAGAATGGAAACTGTGGGGGTCATGAAGCACTCTTAAGAGTTAAAAAAATAATTYAAAACAAAAATACAGAATCTGTCTCTCAGTTCCAGTAATCTGAGCTATCTTTTCTAGGGGCAGTAGAGGCCTAATGTTTCCAAAGGAGCAGGATTTGCACATGGTTTGTATTTTTAAGTGTTTTGGGGTCAAACTGGATTTGACAACAGCCTTTGAGATAGTCATGCTATGTCAGAGCCTTCCTAATTAAATATTGCATTATTCATTTACRGTGCTGTTATACAAACATGGCACATTAGTGGCAAAGCAGAGAAGTCAGAAGAAAACCAATTCTTTAGAAAGAAACCACCAGTCCAGTGGGGCAGATCATTACAGCACTTGAACGAAGGGAGATCCTCAGCCAGGACCCRGTGAGAACCAGAGCAGAAACACCACTTGTGTTGAATAAAAACCATTTAAAACAAAACTGAAAACTCCTGTTATTCTCCATGAATGTGTGGCAATGCTACTGATTTCTTCCTGGAGTTTTTCTTCCTACCAACTCAGCCTTGCCTTGGAAGACAATCTGCCATGCCCAGCTCCAACCATTTAAGCATGTCCAGCAGTACATTCCTTCATCTTCCTGAAATCAAGGGGACCTAAACATGTRCCTGAGTGTTCTGAGAAGCAGAAATTAAGTACTCAGTTAAATATTTGCATCTGCCAAAGGGCTTTGTTCAAAKAGAGTGTCTAAAGATTCTAAAAGCTACCACCTTTCTCCCTGCCACATTAGAAACACACCCAGATTTGGTCAAAATCAGAAGTCCTGGCTTTGATCTAAGCCAACASTGTGACAAATGGACAGGGACAAAAGAAGATGTTGATCATACCACGAGGCTCTTGAGTYTCTTATTTGTACTCAACAATGGGAAGTACAAAGTTCCAAAAGCAAGTRTTCATGGATTGACAATCACAGACTTCAAACTTTGGGAAAATAAAATAAATGAACTGTTACCACAACAAAAAAAAAACCCAATCCAAAACAAAACAAAACCAAAACCCAGCTGTTTTCATCACCAGCTCTTTTTTTTTTTTAAATGACACACAAGGATTTCCTACTCTAACAAAGCCTGCTGTATATTCTGGTAGTAAACWTCAGATCTGAAGAAATTTTATATAAATCCATGTTATATCTCTTTTTGTATTAGGGGAAAATATTTCAAATGCAATAAAATAGCAGAATTCATGACTGTATAGTAGGCAACTTTTCTTTTTTTTTTAGATTCAGTTGTACAAACTATAAACTGTTARATTTCTCTAATAATTGGAAAAGTTGTGGGTATTTGAACTTACTTACCTGAATACTCATTTAGCAAATATTTTCAGATACAAGTCTAGATACAGAGTTATGCAATTTGAATATTAGTTTACACATAATATAAATCAATGTTTGACAATATCAAAATCCCATCAAACAGTGGGCCCTTCTTATGCTATTATCAAATATAGTATATCACTGTGGGACAGTTGAGAATCATAGAATGCTACTGTAGGCTTGTTTATTAAATTGGGTCAATTTTCAGACCTTCCAAATAGGAATACTAAACATTTATTTTTCCCCTCTGGAAATTTTTTTTCCTCCTGCTTAATACAGTTGTCATCCCAATTTCTAGTGAATTTATAAAAATATTTTTTTTTTATCCAATAACCCCAGCAAGGTAAAAATAGGAGTTTTTATAGCAAATGATAAAACAGGCTCACGGACTATGAGAGAAACTAAACTTATTTAAATTGCCATACATTCTCTACTGAATCACACATCAACAGTTTCTTTTTTTTTATGTGTGTTGCTGTCCACCTCAGACTAGCAGTTTTTAAGGTGCAGAAGCATCTTTCAAATATATGCATCTAACTCAATAATCAAGTTTCACACACTAGTGTCACATGCTTTAAATTTACATCACCTGCCCATCAAAAGCTGTGTTAAATAACAGCACTAATTGAAACTGCATAATTCATCAGAAACTGCAGCACTTCCAATTGAGAGAGCAAAGGGGTGCTATTGTGGTTCTTTATATTACTAGATATAATTTTCTGAAATAAGGAAAGGAAAAGAAACAAAAAAATAACACATTTGAAAGAAGTTGCTGCACCTGCAAAAACACTCTTTAAGCTTACTATGAAATACAAAAAAGTGCACCCTTCTATATCTACATATAAAACATATTAGAAATAAAACTTGTGTAAAATGTTTGCTGTGCAAACTATAAAAAGTCAGTCAGTCAGTCCATTCTTTATTCCTAAGTGTTTTTCTCCACACTCTCTTGCTTCCTACTGCAGAGAATCACTGTTATCCAAGACCAGCCCRCTGATATTTGTTGTTGAGAGGTCTCCTCCATCATCTTCACCGCTGTCCACAGACTCATCCTCGCTCTGCCCTGCCATCATCACCTGCTGCACAGCCAGAGTAGCACCATCGGATGACAAAGACTGCAGACTGTCTACATTCATGTTGACTGGAGCTGTGATGGTCACAACAGCACCTGCAGAAGGAAATCACAGCACTTGAACACCTTTCTTGTCTTCTACTTATACACAACAGAGCTTGTTTCTAATCAATAGTAAGAAAACTTACAGAAATGCATTAAAATACAAGTTTAGATAAGTTATCAAATACTTAAATATCAGGAAATGTCAGATTTAGGCTGGTCAGGAATCTTAAAACTTTATGTTGTGAATCTTAAATCTGTGTTATGGACAACACTACAGCAATTCTCCARTCAAGTCATCACAAGGCCATTTCTGCAAAGGATTCCAGCTGATTTAGTTGCAGAAAATTGGGAGTGTTCATATAAATTCAAGGTAACTTCAATGAATAGAGATGTTGATAGATCCAGCAGAGGCTGAAAAAAAAGTTGTTACAAACTGGAGAGAATAAAGCACCAGGCAGAAGGACAGAAAGGATGATCTGAGATTAAAGCAGTTCTTTATGTTTCTTAAATTAAATATCTTTGCTTAATCTGACACTGGAAGCTACTTCAGTCAAAATCTTTGGAGACCCTCTGGCATTTTTCTTCCTCTCACTGTTCAGTCTGAACCACATGAGGCAGATGTGGAATTGCAGATTTTCAGCCATGAAGCTGAAGCTGCAGCTCAGTGCTGCTCATCCAGCAGGACACTCCTGATGTGCACACAGAGTAAACTCAGGTGTATATCACAGTTTAACATCTTTTCTCCTGTTGTTTCATAACTTTTGAAACAAAAGCAACAGTCTCTCAACATAAATTCCAATACAATACCCTCCCCCAAACCACGGAAAATTGWTGGAGGAAAAAAGTGACATATTTCTGTTGTGTTTTTCCAGATTAAACCACATTTCTACTGAAACATCTAAAAGTTCCACTCCCCCCAAAGGCATCAACCCCCCCATTTCCCTGTYAGAGAGGAATTAACTTTATTATCCATGTTTAGGCAGTTGTCCTCACCGTCTGACATCGTGAGCTCGTTCGAYTGCTGCTGAGCCACTCCTGAGGCAATGGAGTCAGGCCAGAACCTCTGGACTGGTCGGTTCTGAGCTGTTTTCTTCTTTGTTTTTGGGGTTTCAGAACAACTGGAGTCCAGCATTGGCTGAAGAATTCGCCTTCTAGCATTGATAAACCTAAACACAATTGAGGGCAAGGTGAACTTAGAACCAGTTGGCTGTAAATTCCCTCTCTTTCACACACATTCACAAAGTATGCAGCAGGAAAAAAAATTAGGAATATAAAATCTTCTATCAGCTGGCCTTCACAATCTTTGAAAGTATAGAACCACTCCTAGAACACCACTTTGATTTTGGCAAACTAGCTAAAAGAGCAATCCTATCATTTTGCAGAAAACAGCATTTCTTCTCCAYCTCAGAAGGAAAAATTCTCCAGACAGCACAACAGATGTACCCTTCAGGATCTTATTAAAAACTAAGCACCAGAAAAGTTGCTGACAGCCCAGCTCAGAAAGCTGATACTCCTCTCATTAGGGTTCACCTAAAATCTAGCCCCTGCCTAACCCAGTTTGTTTGGTCTGGTTTCATTTATTCCCTTAAGCTTCTACATTACTTATTTTACAGRCTCCCTGGCTTTCCAAGGTCTGGCTCCTGATCCAGCAGACAACAGCAAACACTTTTTTCAGATCTTTCCCAATTCCTTCTAATTCTCTGATTTTCAACTTCTTACTTTGGCATGCTAATTGCTGTCCTTCCCCTTCCTGCTAGTGAAATAAGAAAATACTTAACTGAATCAACTTCAACAAGGAGCTGTGACTGAAGGTATCAACACTAAATCTCATAAAACACATCCAGGACCCAGCTTTACCTGAATAGAAGGAAATCAGGTGCAACTGGCARGTTCCTAAGCTGTAATACAATGCTCTGCAAGGACAGAAGTCAGATCCCAGAGCACAGAGCTCCATGGCCACATGTCACACAGGCAGTTACCCTGTTCCACTTTTGGAACCAGTGCTCTGTCACTATCTTGACTATTTCCCCCTGGACCTCTCCACAGCCTCCCAGCCAGCGTCATCTTTGAAATYTGAGGCAAATCCCTGGGGGACTTTGCTGCAGCAATTTTAGGAACCAGTGCCACAAGGTGAATAGGACACATGTCAGCACCTTCCCTCTTCTCTTGTGCAGGGCAGGTGTCTTATCTCACACCTCCAGGGAAGATAAGACAAGACAAAACATGCTGAACCAGGAAATGGTGTAGCTGAGGAACTGCCTCTCCATTCAGACATCACTGCTCAGGAGAGCATCCTTTGACACAAGGACAGACTCTGTGAACGGGAACTTCTTAAACATCTGCAGCCACCAAGATACTAAATGCCTTTAGACTTTAATTTCTTCACTTGAAGAAGAGACATTAGAGTACTTCCATCTCTCTCAGCAACAAAACACAATTCCTTAATGTTGTAATGTTTTCTGGAGACCTTATATMATTTATATGGCATGAGCATTATTATATCTTATAAAAATAATGTGCTCATGTGCCAGTGCATAACTCTTGTATTTCTATCCATATTTTGTAACATATGTAGAATATTTAAGTTCAACTCCAGATATCCAGGTTCTACTTCTCATTATTTCTAAGCTGTGGAGGAGACAAGGACTGATATTAAGCAAGGGCTTTGCTCTTACCAGTTGTTAACCTGGAGTAGTGTCAGATTTGTTTGTGCTGCAATCTGTTTCTTCTCGTCCTCTGTTGGATATGGATGCTAAAGAGGCCAAAAAAGCAAACAAGAAAGGCATAAGCTTRTTTCATCTCCTCATCAAAAATACCAACTCTTTTATTGCAACTGATTAAAGCTGCTCCTCATCAGAAATAAGAACTCCTTTCTTACATCTGATTAAAGATGGTAGATTAAGGCCATCTGACTCATTAAAACACAAACCTTAGAAACCCCACAAACTTTTATAGATGGAAATAATTTAACAAAGACTGCTTTACTACACAAAAACTGATTTTATCCTTGGAAGTGTCTATGGCACCATGAAGCTGCTGCTGTGCAATTCAGAAGAAAAAGCCTCTCATGGCTGACAGTCTTTATTAAAGAGCGTGATCCCTGGGCAGCACAGCATGTGAGCAGCTCTGATTAGTTCTGCTGGCCAGGGCAGTGTCATGTGAGAGATCTGAGGAGCAGCCTGGAGTTAAATAAAGCTGCTCTGAACCCAGCACATGAAGTCGGGGTGTGTAACACAAGAAGTGCTCACGCCATTTCCCTGTATCAGTTTTCTGCTGCAAAAAAGTTGTAAAAGGCAAAATATCAATCAACTGAACACTGTAGTAGCCTGAGAGCTATTTATCCTTTCAAAGTATTCATGCAAAGGAAAGACAATTRAAAGCACAAGCAGACAGTGACATGTTTGGTCCACATTAGAAAGATTGTTGGAAAGGAGATAAAGACAGAACATTTGAAATTTTCCTCTACCAAAAATATCCCCAACACACCACAAAAAGGGGTGGAATTAATTTTCCTTGTGCTATGAACCAGGGTGTAGAGAGCATTAAGTGAAATGAAGAAAGTTCCTTTTAATAATATTTATTGAGAGCATGCAGCACAAGCGTAACATATTTATTAAAATATTAATAAAAGTCAACCAGCATTAGACTGTGAAACTACTCCAAATGACTCCAGGAAAAACTGAACTGAGATTATATAAATGACAGCAAAATAAATTCACCTTGCTTATGAAGGAAAATCATAACAGTCCACATAAAAGAGCTAAATAAAAAACCAACTGTGCTCAGTCCTTACCCCTATGTGCTGAAAAAGCCARGATCTCATCACATTTGTAGCGTGCTTGGGAAGAACTCCTCTCTTATTTTTTGATGAGCCATCATCTTGATGCAAGATGCCTAGATCTTGGTTTAATTGCAACTGGAGCTGCACATGTAATTTTAGAAGAAATAAGGCAGTTAACATAGCAATGGCAGCTCTGTATCAATGAATGAACAACTCATTTATAGAAGGAATGAAAAGAAATGAGGCTTGAATATCTTGAATACACTCACTGTGTGCAAACATAAACAACTATGCAAGCTGTAAAATATTATTGATTTAAAACCTAAATGAAGGATAAAGTAAAATTAATTATGATGCCAGAGTTACAAACAAAGATGCTAAAGGTTATGCTAAATAAATGCATTTAAATTCTCAAAGATCTACACAACAGAACTTTACAACACATTTTACAATACTCATACTACTTCCTAAATATTCCTRTTTCTTTCTCTTTGCTTTTCGCTTCCCATTGATTCATCAAATCCTTTACACGTTGGTTATCTGAACATTTGAGAATACATTCTTAAATGCTTATGCATTAAGAAATAAAAAGAAACRTAACATAAATTGCATATAACATTCTATTTCAGCCAATTGTAACAGAAATAATTTGAAATCATGTTTTCCAGACAAATTGGAGCAATTTTTAAAGCCAATTAATATGTAGGAAACTAGTTTTAAATAAGGTTGAAGCTACCAAATTACAACAAATACATACCTAGAGCACATTTAAATTTCCAAAGTAATGCCTTACATTCTAAATAACCTGATTGCATATGGAGGTTTTATAATGAACTTTGAACAGCTTTTCCACAGTACTTTTCCCTACTTCCACAGCATTTTGAAACACTGAAAAAGGAGACATTGAAGAAGGATTTTGYATGGATGACCTTTGCATTGATGGGTTTGGAGACTCTTACTAACATCAGGGGTAGTCACAGATGTTCTTTTTTTATTTATAGGCTAGAAACATTATTTTCCTCTCAGTATTTTTTTTTCATAAAAGGTAAAAAAACCCTTTTAATTTTTTTTTAAATCCCTTCAATCCAGGAGAGTAATTTTACAAATTTCTTTCTGAAAGGTGTGTGAGGACAGAGCTGTCTGTGTTCTGGGGGAGAACATGGGCAATACAGATACACTCCTGCCAATTAAAGKAACATTCTGTGCACACTTTTTTGGTYSGAAGGCCAGAATAAGGRAGAAAAGAAGCCAGTGAGTCAGTGMTTACCARCAGATTTTTTGCTATGGAGAGGGATCTCCTCATTCACATTTTTAATTAAATCCAGATTCCAGTAAGTTTTGGTTTATCGCTTCCAGCGAAAGCTCCCAAGGTTTTCTGTACCAGAAGATGTTCTAGTTTTCATGTTTCTAGTTTTTCTTTAGTTGTTTCTTTGAACTCTTCAGATCCAACTCTTAAACCTCCCCCCCCCGAAAGTGCTGGTCCTTGTATTTTAGGGCGTAAGGAGCCAAAATTGAGGCTCTCCCAATGTCTCAACTGCATACTTTGAAGGTTTTATAGAAAAATGCTTCTCAAAATGGATAAACTCTGAAATACTTGCAGTTTCACACTACAAGTGGTTGCCACCATGATRAAAAGTCAAATTTCTCGCAATAGCAGTGAGGCACTTTAATGYAATACATTAAATCTATCCAGCAATAAACACAGTTCAATGATTTGAAAAGTTTTAATCATTGAATAAGTGTTTGTTTAATTCAGAAGTGGTTTTGGTTTGCATTGGTGGTTTTTTTTGGTTTGTTTGGTTTAGGAGGGGGTTGTTTTTTAATTTTAGTTTGCTTTTTTAAATTCCATGCACCCATACTCTCCTGGCATCAGTAAAGAAGACATTTAACAGGTAGGAACTATGAYGACCCATTGTGGCAAGAGGGACCTTACTGTACAACCTGTAACTCCTACAGCAGGGGCTGCACTAATTTACCATTAATTACCATTGATTTACCATTAATTACTCAGTACACAGAGCTCCTTCTGCCAGTGTGTCAAACTTAAACCAAAACTCCTAAAAACACTGAGATGTATTTCCACCCAGAACACAATTCTGTGGAGCCCACGAAACAAACCTGAGAGTTCTGGATYCGAATAGTCCCAGGTGACAGTGCCTGTGTCACCACCTGACCTTGTGGAGTGACCACAGTGACTGGCTGATASACTGTCCCCCCTTAAAGCAAAACAAAAACACAGATTATGGGTAAGGAAAAGCCCTTCAAGAATTATTCTCTTTAAACACATTAGCACTGCAGCCCATGCAAGACTTTTGATAATATATCAACTATTCTTTTCTAGTCAGCATGCAAGACGTCCTCTTTGCTACTCTAAAATTTCCTTCCATCTACAAAAAAACTGTACAAAATTTGATTTTATTTGCCTGTATTTTAGGCATTCCAAATYTATTTTCAAAGGAAAATGCCATGATTATCAGGCTACAAATCAGTTCATTGTGCTGTTTTAACTGARTTAGGTGTTCAACCAAGAAGGGTCACAACACCAAACCCACACCTATGTGTGGCCAGTGCTTAGGGCAGGCAGCTGGGTTTGATTTAAAACATTGCTCAGAAGTAAGATAAAGCATTTCAGCTCAAATGTTATTTCCATATAACGGAAGGAGGGCAACAAGGACATCAAGGATTTCACAGACTTGGAKCTGTGGTTCCAAACTCCAGGGAGCACAAGGCAGCCAAGTGCAATGGTTTAGGTACTGAATATTWTTKYYMAAWWRRAWTYYTYYTTTTKARGRAAAAAAAAAGAGTAAAACACCACAGTCTCTGGAATGTCTTAACAAATGTAGTGTTGCACAGAAAGATTTCTTAATGTTATGTATGTAACTGCCACTCTCATAGGCATACTTGGTATAGATACAAATTAAACAAACATTCATACCCAGTAAAGCATGTGACTGTATTACAACAACTTTCCAKGTATTAAAACTGAATTTTTAAAAGTGTTTGTCTAGTTTTTGTACCAACTATAAAAGAAACCAAGATGAAGAGCAAGGTGCCAGTTGTTTTTAGTGTGTCATACCTGCTACTGTTGCCATAGTTACATTTCCCTGCTGCAATGCTGATGCTGGCACCATGATCCCTTGGGGACTGAGTGTGCCTGCAAGGGCACTTGGAATTTGCTAGAAAAATAAAACAATTAGTTGCTTACATTTTTAAACTTTTTTTTTGTAAGAAGATAGAGCATGCTTGTGTATTTTTGTACTTTGTATTATGTATTTTTGGCTCTAAAATACATTTAGAGTTTAATCATAGGATTACCTTCAAAGAGAAAGAGACTTCATTAGGGGTTCATCATTACCTACATTAACTTCCTCATTATCACCAACCATTACCTTTGAAAACCCTCATGAAAGTAACTGTTAGAAAAGATGTAAAACTATCTTGAGAAATTTCAGTTCTAGGTACCTGATGAATAAGAGAAACAGTTTCCAAAGGCAAGAGGGAAAAAGGACAAATTCAATGACCCTTGATGCTCTTATTACAAGCAYCAAAGCTTTGGAATTTTAGTTACTACCTTAATTTCTTCAATTTCAACATAATCTATTAAATATYCAATATGTTTTATTCTGCTCAAGATAGCTCTTACTCATCCCTGACCAAGCAAACTCTTACACATTTCTTTCATATATATGAATAATCTCTTTTGATAGCAAATGAAAAATGAGTCCCTCCTGTCTCTATAGAAAAAAAAGACACATAAACCCCCCATTTTAAAAGCTGTTTTTGCCTGATTTTAGAATCTCCTTTCCACATTTCCAGACACCAAAACTTAAGTAAGGAGTCCAGAAAGTGAAATTTTGAAGTTATGGGTCTTTTTTGAATACAGWGCATCAGACACATGAATAATGCAGAGAAAGGCCATCCCTTAAGAGGTGGGATCCAGGGGGTTCTGGGGTGGCAGGGCTCATTCTGCAGCATCTGACAGCAAAAACATCAACAAGTTAACTGCTGGTAATTAACTGTGGTCCATTTAKTACAGAAAATGCAATATTGCAACTTTAATCCATCAGATATTGTCTGTTTATTCCAGAATACAGGTTGTGTATGAAATGTAAGAGTCATCTCAATATTTTAATAAAGGAGACAGACTAAGGAGACCTCAGCAAGGAAAAATTTTCTTCTTTGTTTATTCTGTTTTCTAACTTCCTTCCAACAAAACAGCAAATCCAGGGTATTCTGAACTGAGAGAAAATCATAAAAAGATAGACAATAAAAAATTGACTCTGTGTTCTGTCACATTTCAACAAATTTGTCCATCAGGCAGAGGCACACAGGTGTGCACAAAAAAAAAGAAAATAGCTCTTTCTACTCTTAGTAACTGATTTGAGAAAATAAAGTAAACTGCAGAAACTCTGTTTGCAAACTGATAGCAAATGAAGTGTAGCTCTAAGTTCCTATGGAAATCTAGGCAAAAATCCACTTAACAGMTTTTGGAACACACCTGAGATTGCACAGGTGAATAAGGACTTCCAGGCTCTCCACTTAATAGAGTTTCACTGTTCATTTTTGTCTTCAGGCAGGCAATGTAACGACTACAGAAATCCTTGCAGAGTTCATTAACCTTTTCTAGCTCAAGCAGATGGATACGTAGAACTTGGATTGCTTTTACCATCTGAGGGAGAGAATTGAAAAAAAAATCAGAAACAAAATAACTGTTAAATTAAAAAATATTTAATATGAGATTTAAGCAAATACTACCTTTCAGTAACAAAGGTCACCCAATTAAAGCAGAGGTACTAATTGCTAGGTCCTGGAATGTGAAAGGAACACAAGTAAACTGCCACATAGGGAAAACAAAACAGGACAAAAAAGAGATCTTTGTCACATGTGACACATCAGGGAGACAGAGCAGTTCAGGTGTCACAGGGCACAGGATGAGCCTGGACATCCACGTGGTCTTTAACCCCYTTGTACAACTCTGGGTCACGGACCACACAAGACTGGAAGTGATGGAAAACAATCCCAGGCACACAAATTATTTGGAAAGCATGGCTGGAACAGGCTTGGCCAGCAGCAGCTCTCTTGAGCTCTATAAATCAGAAACACCRGGCTCAGTTCCACATTACACCCTGACCTAAGCAAACCAGAAAGGTACAGCTGAGTTTAAGATACAGAGAGGAGACTTTTCTGTCACTAAGCCTAAATTTGTCCCACAGATTGCTAGGGAGGGTGAAAGCAATTTTTTCAATAAAAGCAGAATAAAGAGGTCCCAAATTTTCAATTTATTTTTTCAATAAAAGCAGAATAAAGAGGTCCCAAATTTAGTCACACTGTTCAACAAAGCTTAAAGTAATCAAACATTTCTTCAGTCCTAATGCTTTTAAGTTCCTTTGTGATTGTATATCAAAGATTAACAAATCTCAGGTAAAATCTTGTAAGAACTTTCAGGTGAGGAGACTGATTCTGAAATACTCAACATTAAATACAAAGCACTAAACCAAATTAAAAAAAAAAAAAAAAAAAAAAAAAAAAAAAAAAAAAAAAAAAAAAACAACAAAATACCATATTTAAACTAAAATCCAAATACAGGAGATACGTATATGAGAAGAATACTTATGCTCACTGTGAGAAAAACACTGTAAGCCTGGATAACCAATGGTATTACATACTGCATAAAAATAGCTTAGGTGATTGCAAGGGTCATGGCAGAAGATCAGAAGCTAAAACCAAATCCAGATGGTCTAAAAGCAGTAGGAAATCCAGGACATTCAAATATCTACAGAACACACCAGCAAAATAATTATTTTTTATGCAACATGCCACTGCCAACATTTCTGTGCTGTGCTGGATCTGTGAGAAAAAATATCCTTCAGTTTTATGAAACTGAATAATTGCAATTTTGAAACACAGTGCAGAGCTAGACTTCACAATTATTTGGAAAAATCTSTCCTATATGAAGGGTTATTTACCTGGGCAGAATCAGTGACCAGAAATGACAAGTTATGAATTAATCTACCTATTATTTSCAACTCAAGAAGCCAGCTGGGAGCTGAAGTGGTGTTTGCTCAAGACACCTAAAGGAGATCGGGGTAGGAAAACTTGTGTGTGCCCCCCTCTCCACCATGACACTTTAGCTTTCATTGTGGCACATCTTTTCCCTGTTTTTTTTCAGCAGAAGGTATTCCAGCTGTAGGACACTCACCCAGCGTAGATATTTGTGTGTTAAAATAAACAAGATTAAAAAAAAGAAAAAAAAAAAAGGAAATATTATTTCTTCTCAGGGCTAAAAAGAAAAAAAAAAAACAACCCCATACATCTTTCAAAAAAGAAATGTAGGTTTGAGGGAGTTGATCCAAATGATTATCTGGTAACTCTTCTGACCTATGACACTGAAAGCCTTTGAAACACMAAGTGCAGTGACCCAGCACTGAGACACAAACCAGTGATCTTCTAAACCAGCCCAGGTTGCTGTTTAAACTGTGCTTAAGCACCTTTAAACACAATAAAGTCAAAGTATGCAACTCTAACTAATTTTTAACACAAAACAAAGGTCATCTGTGTTTAAAGTAATTTGGTCTCTGTTTCAGAGACAAAAAAAGCTTAAAATAGAAAATTCTTCATGTGTGACAGATCAACACACTGCACATAATATTAGTGARTGCTTTAAACATTCAGTTAAACTGAGGTAACAAAATATGCTTTTGGACATGTAATATTTGACCATGTTAGAGATTAGTTTATTTTGGTTCAGTCAACAGAGTTAGGATTTTTTAAACATTACCCATATTTGTATTATTTTTATATCAGCATGGGCTTGGAGGAAAAGTGAAAGTCCTTCCTTCAGCTTAGATTTAGTTTAAAATTGATGTTTGACACTTGAGGTGAAAATTGAATTAAAGTCAAAATTAACCACAAACCCAGACTCAGTAACACTCCCCAGGTTTCTGCAGAGCCCTGCTGTGCCACACCACTCTTGCAGGAAACTGTGCTACTGTGGTTAGGAGGCAAACAAAACTTTGCCAATATGCCACGCCTGTCACCAGGACTTATTAATYCATTTACAACTACATTAATTGTGCCCATATGGCTCCTGCTGTCTTGCAGAATGGGTTGACCAAACTTAATGTTAGCARAAGTTCACTTTTTCCTTAAAACCACAAAAATCAAGAATTCCTGATAAAATAGCTCATATTGGAAAAAGTAATACAAAGAAGTGGTTTTAGATAGGTCTCAACAGCAGTAATATTTCAGTAATTCAGGGCTCCTGCAAAGAATACGCCACAGAATAATGTATTTTTATAATCCAATTGATTTAGTCCTTTCAGCTGTTGAAATAWGCCTGGAGCATCATTTCAAAGAAATGCACGAAGATGAAGTAACCATGAGATTTGCATATATTCACAGAATCCTAGAATGGTTTGGGATGGAAGGGACTTTAGAGATGATCCAGTTCCAGCCCCCTGCTGAGGGCAGGRCCACCTTCCACTATTGTTGAAATTGTTGTAAGTAAAGATAATGGTAAACTATTAAGCAGAGAAAGAAAAGTTACTGAAAAAAATCCACTTCTTGCTATGTAGAGCCTATTCACCTATAAATATGTCTATAAATTTAAGAAATGGTATCTTTAACCCYAAATATGCTTTAAACTGTGCCTGTGTGCTGTGGTCAGTGCCTCAAGCCCATGGTGCAAAGGCACAGGCACAGCGTGCACTGCYTTAGCCACGATCCCCAGCTCACCCTGGATGATGGAAAACACAGAGCCACAGTTYTTTTATGGATTTCAGAGCACACAGCAACTACACAGGTGGGCAAAGTACATGAAAGAATCTCCATATAGTGATACGTAATCTCACTCAAATGACTCTTTTCATTTGAAAAAAAAAAACAACTGAAAAATGTACATTCACAGCTCACCTACCTTCCTAACCCAAATGCTCCTGGGGAATTTAGATTTCCAGGGGGAGAACACAAACTCTGGGAGCAAGGGTATTTTGTTTTCATTTGTTTTGATTTGACAACCTTTCTCCTCAATATAGAGTCCCCACTTACRAGACATAGCTAGCAAAGGTGTTGGGATAATTCTGCACATTAAAACAGTAAAAGCACTGTTTAAAAATGCTTGTTCAGTCAATATTCAAATGATATCAGCTGGCTTCACCACTGCAACTCTTCCTGACACAACTAAGAGTTCAACAGAATTGAGAAGAGGGTACTGAACCAAAAATCCTTACCCCAAATGAAACAAAAACTTGGGGGGGAGGGTCTTCAAAAAAGGGCAGTGTCCTGTTCAAATACAAAAGGGAGAGTATATTTCACACTCCTTGTCTTGTGTTGTGTCTAGACTTGACAAAGCCATAAGCAACGTGCTCTGACTTCACAGCTGACCCTACTCTGTGCAGGAGGTTGGSTTACAAACCTCTTGAGCTTGCAGTGCAGTCCAAACTATCCTATGGTCCTCTGAATGTGGAGAAATTTAAAAAATTGAAAATTTGAAGAGTTTACCCTGAACAGAAGCYACACAAGAGGTAGGGACCACCCTGAGGCAATGTGATATTTCTGCAGCAACCAGGTTGGCAGTGAGCATCAAAAAAGGTTCAGCAATGGAYGTCTTAAAACATAAAACAATCTGTGAAAGGGCTAAAAAAATTCTCTGTAAGCACTGATGCTGAACAACATCTCAGACATGGAGGAATCTGTCTGTGTATGTCCTGTGCACAAAAGGAGACTAATGGAGAACAAAGAGCAGTCAATGCCTTGGTTCATTCCAAGATCTGTGAAAATGAGGCAGASAAAGCAAAGGGTAAGGGGCAAAGTGTGTGGAGCTCCAACAGATGATTCTTCAAGTTAAGAGGATACAGCTGGGAACACTTCCAGAAAGAAGTTTGTGCACTTCAGAACCTCTGACTAGCAACACAGACCACCAAAATCTGATTATCGACACCAAAAACACGTCTTCTGACAGTGTGCTTGATACAAGGACTAAGGGGGATGCAAATAATAACATTCCAAARTGATATGGAGGAAGTTAAAGCTTTAGGAAAGCACATTTCCAGTCTAGTAAGAACATGAACACAACCTTCAGCTTCCAGAATTTGAAAACAGGAGTGCTGCAGCACAGAATCACAGGGTCACCCCAGAGCACATGGCACAGGATTGCCCCCAGACTTGGGAAAGACACTGCAAAAGTAAAAGGCCTGGTAACTGCAAAAGTAAAAGGCCTGGTAACAACTCTCCTGGAGAGACCACGACCCTTTGCCTTGCTGCTTCAAGATCATCAACTGACACTGCTGGAGAGCTTCACTGGGAAAAACAGAATCCCTCCATCTGGATAAKAACAAGGGTTTGAAACCTGGTTTACAGGCCAGGCTTAGCAATATATGAGTATCTTAAAACTAAGTTTCAGGTGGATGCTACCTGCATTTCCCAGCGCTGAAATCCTTTTATGACACTAAAGCAGGAAACAACCAATTAATTCAGACKGGGAATTATAATRCCCAAGTAACAAGATAATCTAGACYATAGCTTAGTAAAAGCTACTCAAATTGGAACAAGCATCCACTGCTCTTAATGAACTTCCTTTCTGGTCAAACAGATCTAAAGCCTGTGCCACCCAGATTAACATTCTGTGGTCCTCTGGATGAACTCCAAGCTGCTCTTGTGGAGTATCCAAGACGTTTCAAGTGARTGAGCAATGTGGAACTTTGCCAGGACTGTAAGTGACCCTACAATCACTATCTGTGACCCTTCATAATTTCTGCTATCTATTTAATTAGCCACAGRCAGCATGGAATTATATTCTGCTGGTTTGGAACTGTCATCTGAGGCTCTGTCACAGAAACTGCAATCTGGCTGAGTTCTRCATGCCACTTCCCAAAGAGGTTAAAAGGAAAAAAAATGAAACAGCTGACCGATTTCCTTAGTGCAGCAGGCTTATGACTCTCAGATAGGACTTGAATTTGCCTCTTTAGACTGTTGTGATGCTCAGTTCATCTTAGTTTAGCTCTGGCTTCAAGTTGAGGCTACTGAGCAAGAATTTACACCTTATTTGTTTGAGTCTGTATGGCCTACCTGCTCTACCCCTCTAGCCCAGTCTAATTATCAGTTTTAACAGCTTCTCCTTTCAAGTGAATGGTTGAGTTAACACTGGAGTTAAAAAGGGAAGGACAGCAAGAACAGAAGATACAGCAAAGATGCACAATAACGTTCCTCTCTACTAAAGAAAGACTTTTAATGTCTAAAAATAAAAATATATGTGACACAAGGCAGCAAAAATTGCCCATCCACAGCCTTCTCAGTGGCAGGCACCAATATTTCATGCTGAAAAGAGMCTGAAAACCATGCTAGCAGCTCACAACTAGACAAGAAACTTGTGCTCACTGCCCCAGACAAAATGAAGAGGCTGTCAGAACTGTCAGCTGTTCAGARCTCCCAGCCTCCAGGACAGGCAGAGGACAAGCTGCACTCAGGTTTCATCTGATATCCAGCAACAGAAAGTCAGAGCTAACAATACRACCACAGGACAGGAGTGCAATGCCAAGGAGTTCTGATTTTGCAACACGGTTCCAGTTTAAGCCACTACTGACCTCAGCAGCCACAGAATCCAGGGCATAAACAAATGCTACCTCATCCACCTTGAGCACTATCAGCCAGATTTGTGCAGCCCATCAGCAAAGGTGAACACCACAGAAACCAAGAGACTTTGTCACTAAAACCACACACTGAAACCACAAACAGGCCAACCAACAGGAAGGACTATTTGAGTGCACCAAACCCAGCTACAACAAAACTAAGCTGCATCTGAGAAAATGTCTATGTATGCCCAAAAGCACAGAGAACAGACCAAGGCATGCATGATCTGTGGGAAACCAATTTTTGGAGGCTCACAGAACCACAGAGTAGCTGAGGTTGAAAGGGGATCTCTGGATTTTTCAATCCAACCCCTCTTCTCAAAGCAAGGTCAGCTAAGAGCAGGCTCCTCAGGGCCWTGTCCAGCTGAGTTTTGACTTTCTCCAAGGATGGAGACTCCACAACTCTCTGGGCAGCCTGCAGTATTCAATCACCCTCACAGTAAAAAGGTTTTAATGAAACTTCCTGTGTTTCAATTCATGCCCATTTCCTCTTGCCCTTTCACAGGGCACTACTGAGAGAGACAGAGTCTGTCTTCTTTATTCCCCWATTAGGACTTGGCATTTCCCTTTGTTGAATTCCATGAGATTCCTGTTTTTCTGCTGCTCCAAAAGCAATAAAGTACTTTAGAATGGTGGCAGAGTCATCTGTGGATCAGTTGCAAAAGATCCTCCCACTTTTGCAACAYCTGCAAACTTGCTGAGGGYTCACTCAGCCTCATCACCCCAGTTATTAATGGAGATGCTAAAGAGTTCTGGGTCCATGATCAATCCCTCGAGGACATTACTTATGAGTAGCCCTCAGCTGGACTTCATGCTGCTGACCAGAATCCCTTGAGTKCAGGAGTTCACCCAGTTTTCAGCCATCTCACTGCTCATCTATCTASTCCATATTTTATCAACTTGTCTATGAGAACATTGTAAGAAACATCAAAAGYCYCTAYTAAAAAGAGACTTGTATTAAAATTYGTATTAAAARGATAAACCACAACCACTGCCCTTTCCTCATCCACTGAGCTACAGCTACTACATTCCAACTGTTAGATTTCAGCTGAAAAAAGAACTTCAGATTAGAGAGACACAGGCAAACAGTGTTTTTGTGTTGAATTCAGAGAGTTACAAATGAAGAAAATAACCCGAGGCTTAGCAAGTCAGCAGACCTGCTTCATGTAGAACAGAGCTAACTCTAATTTTTTGAGTAAGATATTGAAGGGAAGTATATTCAAAAAGGGGAAATCACAACTCCATCACAGGAAGGACTTTCAGAAAACCTAAAGGAGTCAATGACTTGAAAGAAAAAAATTGTTTATGTTAAAGACTTCCTAAGCTCATCTTATATCAGCTCTTCTCCTGCATTAACTAGATGAATCTTGATTTTAAAAAAATTGGAAAAAAATTTACATCAATTACATGGTTTTGATAAATATGTTAAGCACCTCATACTGCAAAATCAATTTGCAAAGTCAATCTGGCTACGGAAAGGATTTGTTTCTTTTTGTCTCTAATACACTCACGTCAGCTAGCTGAGAAGAGGAAACAACCATGAAGAATTTACAGATAAAAGGGAAAAGGGGGTCAGAAGAAATTTAAAAAAATAGGTATTTTTAAGCATTACCATAAAGCAGAATCTCTCACTGGCAGAAAAAATGTGAGGAGAAACTATAAGGACCAGTTGAGATCAGAAATTAGGAAGAAGTTGCAAACGTGGTGATTGTTTCAGAAATGAAACAAATTGCTCATRCTTACCAAATTATCAGTTTCTGGATCTTCACAGAAAAAAGGTTTTCCTTCTTTCTCCTGCTTTCTTACAAAGTTTTCAATATCTACATCAAAACTGGCAGAAGTTGTGCCTTCTGAGCCTTGTGTAGATTGTTCACATTTTTCAAATAATAGTGCTAACAAGGGAAATAGWGGGTGCCTAGAAAAAAAAAAGGTTTAAATACATGAATAAGTATTTTCACTTACAAAATTAAGACAACCAGATCAGGCAAAGTCATAGTCACTCATGTAAGTGTGACAAGTCCTGGAAGAGATTGCATGTAACACTGGCTAGAATAAAGTAAGATAGAGGTTTATTTTCATTTTGATTTAGTACACTCTAGAGGCAAATACAGCAGTAAAATGTGTATATATTTAATTAAAGAGAACAATCAAAAGCAAAAAAGCTCTGACTGCTTAATTCACTGTAATTCAGTGACATGAGATAGATTAATACAGTGCACTAGAAATTATATTTAGAATTTGCAAAAGAATAAATGTGGATTTAATTTTATCAGGCTTCATTCAATTTATTCTTTAATGTGGGCCATACTTAAACATCACAAAATAGCTTTAAAAAATTGTGAACAGTATCCGGTATGTGCTCACAGGCCTCCTGTGAAATCATGCTCTGAGAAGAAGATGATTTTGTTAGTACAAGTCTGTAAATGAATGGATACATTTTTCTGCCTCAGGTTGGGTTTTTTTTTGTTTTGTTTTTTTGTTTGGCTTTTTCCTGTACATCTTTTTTAAATTTGAAAACCAGTAATAATTCTGTCTTTATAAAATAGTGAAAGAACACTTAACCAAATCAAAACTGAGCAAACTGCTTAGCACAGCACTTAACACTGAAAAATCTCAAATTAGTGTGTTCATACATCAATATTCAATCTTTTTTTTTAGCTAATTACAGGGGAATATATARTTATACCTAAAGAAAAAGGAGAAAAGATTGACCTAATTACAATAAAAGTAAAAACTCTAATTAAAGGTATAAACTATATCATGACAAACAGTGATCACAGTTTGAAGTCTAAGGWAGCTTGCTGAATTTTGCAGCCACCCTTAGAACACCCTTTAAAATTCTGCTGAAACTCAAGAATACCACAGTCTCAGGAGGCTTTTTTTCTTGGCTGATGACTGACAGCAAAGCYTATTTGATCTCATTCTTTCCCTACAAACTGTGGAGACAGCCAAGAGAACACCTGATTTCAAGCTACTTATTATTTATTTATAAAAAAAAAATCCTCTACTCTATCCTTTACCCTTCAAAAGACAGAACACGAGTCCATCACTACCTGTAAATGGCCTGCTTGTCTGCATCCATTGGAGTCTGGGATTCTACGGGGGCAGGACTCACCCCTTCGGCATCAGTTTCAGAGCAGTTGGGATCTTGTTCAGTTTTTAACTCTGTTACTACTTGCATCTGTAGAAAAAAAGAGTAAGTTRTAAGTAAATATGCAGCCCTGATGTAAAATAAGGGTACTGTGCTCTAAGGAAAGAGCAGTGCAAAGGGCTCCCAAATTGCCAGAAGGTTGGTATGACTTGGCAGTGACACGAGGAGCTGTAGAAGTAACAAAACCCCTCTTTTAATCCCTGACACTTTCTGATGGATAAAGGTCACTTCAAGTTTCAGCATTTGGCTTTAAAACGAGAATGACAGATATTAGTAGATTGGTAAAGAGTTTTGTCTCTGAAGYGACTGTTTTTGGAACAGCCTACAGTACATTGCTCCAAAATGTTTATGGGAATGTCTGCACAAAAATCCTTTAGGGTGAAATCAACATAAAGAAAAGTTTATCCTCTTAAGTTTTCTATTTTATTTCTTACTGTACACTGCATCAGAATACCCAAAAAAAGCATCTTCTTGGGTTTTTTTTCCATTAAAATGCACATTTTCTTAAGAAGATCTGATTCTGTGTCACTTCAGTCCTTCAATTATAGGACCAAACCTCCCATGACCTTTACCACTCCCTTTCACATATGGTAAGAATCAATTATTTTAGGACTATYAAATAGCAGTAACTCCTTCTACACATCCATTGAACACACATTTATACCCTRGAAAGGCAACAGAGAGCCACAGCTTCAACTGAGCACCTCCTAAGTTGCATTAGGAGGTYGGGAACACCTTTGGGGTGCTTCGAAGGGTTGAAAGTGGTTTTTCCATCTCCTCCAACCAAATATCTTTTGGACTGAAAGTGTCTTAAAGGAACCTGAACTGTGAAAGCCACATTTCCCACCCCTCAACCCCAACTCCTTGATTCTCTCCTATTTGAGCATCTGCACAAAGACATGAAACCACTGCAATCTTTTCTTATTTCTCTTCTGTCTCAGTAGAGGACAGATATATGTTCTAGATCTCTCCAGGCAGCCAGAACTGACAGCTGCAGAGAGGAAGGCCTCCAAAAACTATCAGAGAATCTGCCTTTGATAGAATCTGATTTATTTCCACACGACAGCAGCAGAAACATTTTTACTATTCTCAACACAGTCTGGTGAACCAAAAGGTTTGTGCTTTATTACCTGTTGGGGCCAAGCCATCTCCTAGCAAAGTCAGAAACTGAGAGAATCCAGCATCTCCCACCCACCAGAGCAGCCTGCCTTGCAAAGGGCTTCCTCAGCAAGCAGAGATGATTTTCAAGCCAGAATGCTTGCAAAAAAAAAAAAAAAAAAAAAGGCAACTAATGGACTCATTCCTTGGGTAATGACCGGAAGGAGGAGCAAATTAAAAGGGGATGACTCAGACAAGTGATTATAAATGTTGGCCATACATCTGCAGAGTTTGAAGGCAGAGAGTGTGTTCAGTTAGGTTTCTGTCTCACTGGGAAGAGGAAATAGCTCACTCAAAACTACAAATTTGTTTCTGTGGGCCCTTTCCAGATTAGAAAAAGAGAAGGCACGTGAATTACCTATCTGTCTTGGACACTGAGAGCTTGAAATAAAAAACAAATAGGAAGAAAAAGCTCTTTCCTGATCTGTTATTTAGAAAAGAACAGATTTTACTTTCAGTGCCACGGGATGGTAGGTATTTGCTGGAGGAATAAAGTCAAATATATAAGGTAGGTGAGAGGAGAGAGAGAAATTCGAATTGCAGTAAAAGAAACTAACATGAAAACAAAAAATCAAAACTCTGACTGTGTTCAGATTAACATTTTATAAGAGATGTGGGAAGTTTTCTTCTGACTGTTCACCATTGTTGCCATCTGCTGACAGAAGTACTTGTATTTATTACTTGGGGCTGACACAGTAACAGAAAAAGGARTCCTCAGAGCACAGGCCACCTCATAACTTTTCGCCAGTTAATAGCACTTTCATTTAGCAAATAAAGGGAAGAAATACACACCATGCTCTGCTAGAAAGAAAGAAACATGACMAGACATACATGAGTATGTTTCATTATTCCAGCTTAAACAATGTCAAAACAGGCATTAAAGACAAAATCACTTTTTAAAATTTTCTCTTCCTAACTATATTTAGTACTCAGAGAAAGAAAAATACACCTACCTGTTGTCCATCTTGATAGTTGTCTATACTTAATGTCTGTGTTGCCATCATGGTTATTAAGACATTAATTGTGTCAAATCATCATAAGCGTGAACAAATGTTCTTTAAAGAGAAAAAAAATCAGCAGTTAAAAAAGTGTCCACTTAGAATCCAGTTCTAAAAGGTGAAGGTAAAAATTAAGAATTATACACACTCATTAGAGAGTTTATTGACAACAATGGCCACATGAATATTAGAACAGCCAAAAAATTCAGTTTGGAAATATCACAGGTTTTATCAACAAAAAGTTCATAGTATCTTTTTATATTTTAAAGTAAAATTTTTAATAAGAGGCTGAGGTCCTTTTACACTCACAAACTTCAAGTAAACTTTAGCATTTATTTCTGTACTACTTAACTGACATTCTAATGCAACACATGAAACCTAGAAACAGGCAGGTTTGTGTTTCTGAGTTTTGAAAAGGCTACCAACACACTGAGTATCACTGTAATTAAAATAAAAATAATAAAAACTGAGGAGCCAAATGCAAAGTGTTAAGGAATACCCTGTTCACTTATGAATGCGAATCCCATTATTCTGAAGTAGGGTCTGAAACTACTTTCAGATACCCAAGGCTCAAATAATTTCTGACACCAGGAATTTGCCATCCAAGCCATTTAACAAAGAGTGGAACAATATCTAACCACTTTTAAACAATTGGGCCTTCGTGATTATAAAGTTTCAAAAGTGACCTAGGAATTCAGAAGTCTCAATTTCAGAGACATTCAATACTTTGGGAAATATTAATTCCAATAAGATTTAAACACAATTAAATGCATCATGTTATTTCCTCTAGGCATTAACTGGAGTTTGGTGCCCAGATGAGTTAAACATTTTTAAGTTAAGACATCCAATAATTAAAAAAAATAGATTAGCAAAGCACCCCCACCAGATAGAGTGTACCCATCAAATTACTAATTCACATTTCATTTTCTTGTCAGAATTGCAGCCATTACAACTGAAATCACATAACTCATTACGCTATTACGAGTAACTATTATCACTGAAGTCAATTTTCCTTGACATGTAGGAGTCCTAATGTTTAGCTACTATTAAAAAATCYGTATTTAAAAAGAAGCTGGAGCTCATGTATTGAAAAAGATTACATTCAGGTAATGATTTCAGGTTTTCTGCTCTTTTCCACTTATGTCATTGTTGAAAAACTAAGTTCTAAAATTTTCACCCATTTAAAATCCAAAACAGATTTTTTTTTGTAATGTATTCAATCCCTACAAATTTTCAACTATTTTTAAGTCCTTCCCTTACCATTGCATACTACTACTGCCTATGACCAATTTTAAGAGCAATTTTTACATTTCTGGATATTTTCCCCTACAGATTATAATTGTCTCAAGTGAGTGTTTCATTTTGCAAACACAGGACAAATTTCAATCAGTTACACTTTGATAACAGTTTTAGGCACAGAGACAAATCAAACTCCTCAGCACAAACTTCAAGCCTTACTTTGCATCAAATTCTACTCAGTGTAATTTCTGAGTGCAATTTTTAAATTMATTTTTTAAACAGCTTCAAAGACCAGAGAAGTTCAGCTGGGTGATACAAGCATCTTCCTCTACAAACTACATTATATCACTTTTTACAGAACATCAGTATTCTTTCTTTGAAACTCCAAAAATGTTACTGATTTCTCCATCAAAACTAAAAATAAAACGGGAACAACATAAGTGCACTCACTGACAGAAGTACTTCAGATTCTAAAATTTTGTTTACACTTACTTAGTGTTAAAAGTTAAATCAGCATTTGCCACAATAAGTGATCCACCTCCAAATACTTTAAGGGAACACATTCTAAAACATTAGCCCTGTAAGCATTTGCCTGATGTTTAAACATTTATTTYCTTTCATAAATGGCAGCTGATGCCAGGGCAAGTGTCTGTCTGTATTGATGGAGTGAACAGGCACATAGAAAATKTTGCTTTTCTTCCTTCTCAAAAGACATACATTTAATTTATGACTGTGACATCCAAAAAATGGACCAGACTACCCTCAAAAGAAAAGCGGAACAGTTGAAATGATCAACAATGAAAGAGCAAACACTATTTAATGATTATTTTAAAGCCAAGCAAGCTCCACAGAAAACACTGCTAAAGAAATTATTTGGCTGTGGGAGAAAGATGAAATTCTTAGGCAAAAAAGAGAAAATAAAAAGTAAAACGGTCATACAAGAGGAAGAGTGTCTTAGAGTTCACAGGCATGTGAGATCGTATTAGTGGTATGAAGAAAAGCCTGGAGAGGGAAGCAACAAAGATAATACATGTAAACTGGTAAACACAATAGAACATGGAAAGAATTTYTGGGGAACAAGACAAGCTGGATCAACCCCTCCTTCCAGATTTCCATAAGGAAGAGACATCCCACATCTGGAAGGCCCTCGGGCCACACAAARGAAGAAAGGAGGTGCACAGCTTTGAGCTAGATCCATAATTTCATCTAGAAGGACTTTTGCCCTGTTTTCTCCCAGGGGAACATCTGAAAAGAATTCTACGTGGSTATATCCCTTATTTCCCACAAGAGCTTCCCCTCTGACTTATAATTACAGTAAAAAAAGATTAAGCYATTAGGCAAGATAGGAACTGATGAGATTTAGTGAAGACAACCACTGCAAATCAAGAAGAACAAATTGAGCTAATCACACACTTAAATTGAGGCAATTAACTGAGGAATTACTTCGGTTCRCTAAAAAGAAACATCTCCTCATTACTCAGCAGAGGCAAGAAACAAACTATGTTAAACTTTGAGGAAAGTAACAGAATAGGTATTTACAGATTTGGCTTTTATGACCTCATTTGGGATGCAGCAGCCAGGGCTCATCAGCAGGCACAGCCTGGGCAGATGCTCAGGCTGCAGACAGCGCTGGCGCTGCGATCGCTCCCAAATGTTTATCACTGTCACCCTGCCACAGCTAATGACTTCCACAGCTCCTCCACCGAGCTCCCACAACACGTGGATGCTTTCTGATCCTTCTTACATCAGGCTGGCCCAGGCCTCTCCCTGTTAAAGGTGGCCATGATGGAAAGCAGCTGACTTGCTCTGAAGCGGTTGCTGTGCACTCGAACAACCCCTGCTCTTGGCTGACCTACTCGTGTGGTAATTTCTGGCTCRTGTGTGTCGATTCTCAGCTCACAGCAGGGCCATCTCTAACCAGAACATTCTACCTCAGGACGCAGAATATTTGGAATCTGAGCTGAACCCAAGAATATATGACTTCTGGACATCTTAGCTTTCAAAATGCCAATTATTCTCTGTGAAAGAAAGGGAGAGTAGASGGAAAACAGTGTGTTTGTGTTATATTCAAAGACTTATAAATAACAAAAATAACCTGAGGGTGAGTCGGCCAGTCTGCTTCACTCAGACAGAACTAACTCTCATTCTATTTATTTTRAAAGCAAAGTGTGTGGAAAACCCAAGGAAGAACGTAAGGTCATGTAAGTGGAAGCTGATGCATGAACTGCAATCAGAAACACCACTGATACCTGTGGCGAAAAGCAATTCCTAAAAGCATTGTGGTCTGAAAAGCAGAGGGAAAAAAAGAAAGCATTTAATGAAATTAATTATGAAAGGAAAATGTAAAGCAGAAAGGAAACTAAATGAAGCGGGCAATCGTAATTACAAATGCGGAGACTTTGCGCAAGTTGAGCACAGAAGAGATTAAAGGGGAACTGAAACATACACACGAAGTGATCACTTAACATACATCACTCCTCACTTGTTCCACTTACTCCTTCACAATTAAGGGTACAGGGACCACCCAGAAACGTTAACAGAAGGTGCAAGTGAGSTGTTGGAGATCAGTGGTATCATTTTTAACATATACAAGCTACAACAGATGTTTGTAAGAGATATAAATAGTTATGCTTCAGGCTACAAACTAACCACCAACCCTCTTAGGATTGTGAAGGAACTACCCAACAGACTTGTTAACAAGTAATCATTCCTTCTAATTTTCCCTCGTACAAGTCTCTTTGAAGTCCTTCAGGGAGAAATGCATGACTGGCAGATTCGGCATGGCTCTSTGTTCATTCTTATTTAACTTCAGTCTTGGCACTTGCTATATAACATTTAGATCCTTACATTCACGGACCAAGTTAAAAGAAACAAAAATCAATTCTCTTTGACACATGAGAAGCATCTAGAACTGGCTTCCTTTTCAACATAACACATGATGATATTTATTTCCAGAGCATGCTGTTTTCTAAAGGAGATAAAATACTGTCTGTGAGAAAGTTGCTCACCCCTTTCCTTCAATGAGTTGAAGACAACATTATCTTGTTCCAGCAGAGAGATCCCACTGATGTACAACGTGGAAGACAGAAACCTAAAAATCAAAGAAATAGTCAGAAGAAAACAACACAATAGAACACACATTCTAACACTGAATATGATTAAAAAAAAAAAAAAGGGTTTTTTATGAGGCTTCCTCATCAAGTTTAAATGAACAGACAGGATTTTTTTTTGCAAGTTTTGCACATTTTTGCATTGTTAATAATCTCTAATCACACCCATTATCCCACGCTTGAACTTCTTATCCCATTATTTGATCTTTCTCTCATCTTATTCCATTCATTCTCCACATTCACCTTTGTCTTTGCTGACACCTCTAACAGAAGGCTCCATTTGGATAATAACTCACTCCTTGTTCAAATTCCATATTTTACTCTCTGGCTCTGTGTCTGACTGCTAAGACTAGACAAGACACATCCCAAAAATAAAACTATGGAATGCAAATAGGAATAACTCACCAGTGTTGTGAAAAYTGAGCATGAAATCAAGAAAGGTGAGAGATTCCTCCTCCCCCCAAATTAAAATCTCCTTCATAATAATTTGAATACAATCCATGGTAAAATCAAAGCATGATGCTAGAAATGGGCCATTGTTAGGATCCTGTGTTCTGTGACGACAGGTTCTGCTACAGGATTATCTGGCAATTCCAAAAAGCTTTCAAAAAATTACCACTTAAAATTACTTTAATTGCACTTAATAGCACCCATTTGATACATTGAAGCTATTTTTTAAAAGTAGTAAGGATTGTGAAAGCAAAGTAGCAAAGACTGTGAAAACACAACTGCTGAAAAGCATTAAAAAACCATCTCAGGGGAAGTTCCAGACACTAACGGTGCAGAGAGGCCACCCGAATTATATGATGGCTAAAACATACCGGAGATCTTGAATCAGATTATCTTTGTTTCTCACACCAAGTTCTCAATAAGAACTGGAGAGAAAGTAACTCCAACGTTTTTTAAAGCAAGATGAAATTGGTCTTTGGATTTGAGAATCAATATTTACACGTGTTGTCTCAAAAAGTGACGTTTTTCAAAGAAGTTTACAGAAAAACAAARTATGAAGGGCCACTCAATCTAGATATCATCTCTGGTTCATGAAACCCGCTTCTAAAAAGAGTAGGGAAAATACCTGAGGAGTTTTAAGGCAGTTTGAACTTCAGCCTTTGGTTAGAGATTGGACACTGGGCAAGAAGGAGTTCAGTTCCAAGTGATACACCTTGTCTTGAAGGCTCAAGGAGCAGAAGGCACATTAAAAATTCTTACCACTTTTTCCTAAACTATGAAAGATCTATGTCTTCACACAATGGGCTTCACTCATTTTTGCAGCTTCTTAATTCTGTTCTGAGGACAGTATAACCCTCCTATTCCCTTCTTCACACACTATGTATTTTGTATAATTTTGGTACTCATTCTCACTWCAATTTACTGGGCTACTTTCAAAGAAAAGATTTCTCACTATTCATAGCACCTTCAGAACAGAGGTCACTGCCAGATAAATTGGGATAGATAACTAGAAAAATTACCCATTCCTTGTCTCTGGTCAGASATAAAGAGGACTATTGCAAATCTGAAAATCCTGCTCCTCCATTCATAAACAACTRCAGACAAGAACCAATGGTGCTACTGCTGCCAGATCTGGTCGRTCAAAAATATTYCATGTATGAAGAAATAGCCCTTGCCTGCAAAGCCTTCAGCTGAAACTCTGGAAATAACAAGTTTCTGGACAGCTTATGAGATATCGAGGGCAGGAATAAAGAGGTGCTAAAGAAACACAGGGCCAAGTGAAAGRTGCTGCAGAGGGAAAAGTGTGGCTGGGAAGGAGCCAGAGGATATTGCAGTTTAATTGCCCTCTTCCAAGAGACACTGAACAACATTTAATACTGCTGTCTGCCTAAAACATATCAGACAAGAGAGATCTGAGCCTGAGATCTGAGCAGATTATGTCTTCTTGCACATCTTCATGACAAGAAGAGGGAGCAGATACACCTGTTAAAGGGTGGAGACAACACCAAGGCACTGTGGAGTCTTAACCTGGACTTGGTATTGCCAATCTGTATTTTCCTTCAACTCTTCTTGCAGACAAGCTTTAAAGTAATGCCACCATAATGAAAATACCTGATAACTATGAAACCAAAACAAAGGGCAACTTGCTTTGTCTCTTAGAAAGTGAATCACCACTGAGGTTTTTACTACAAAGTAAAATAGGAACTTGTTCATTCAAGTGTTGAAGAACCGTCTTTTGAGTCATTCTCTCATTTTGCATTTCAGYTTGTGTAGGAAGCAAAGGCCTGTGCATACACTCACATGTACAAATACGAGCAGACATTAAGATCAACCTATTTTCATAGATTCAAATAATAATAACAATAGTAATAATTGGTTCCACTAATGAAGCAGTAAGCGGAATACACATGGCATCCAGGATTCATTCCAYCTTTGCTGCAGTGGTTATCCATCTCCAGCAACCTGCCCGTGCAGAGTCGTTCAGCAAAATTAAGAAAAACAAATCAATACGAAGTTGATGCAGACAAGTTTATTAAATGAGAATGTTCTCCTCATTTAGCACCAAGGTGGTTTCCATTTCCTCCATCTCATGTACTTACAAAGCACAGTCATTATTTAGAATATTATACTTTTAAGAAAGACAATGTTCCTGTTCAGGAACATAATACCAGCCTCAGGGAGTTCCATCACACAGATACAGCCACTCAGTTACTACACAACAGCTATGCTGTCAATTGCCCTGGGAGTCAAGCCCTAAAAAGCCACAAAACCAATTTTTGGCTGCAGTAAAATGAGATTTATTTTGTGTCACTTTGTTGCCTTTATTGTTTAGTGATACAACAGCGTTATTTATATGTTAATCTTGAATATGAGATTACATTTAAAAAGARGGAATGCAAATTATACTTTAAGAAACTGAAAATTAAAAATAAATTAAAGAAACAAAACTGAAGTTGAATTTCTGCAGAAATTCAGGCTGCACTCCAAGCTACCATCAACCTTGTTTTGCATGTAGGATTTTCAACATAAATACTATGTAACAGTGACTTCATTCAGCAAGACCTCTCCAACGGGGTATCTACAGCTTTGTTGTCCCATTAATCTTTCATAGYATCCTCTCTTCACATCCCTCCATTTCAGATCTTAACAAGCCATACCRAGTATTCATATCACAGACCACCTCCCAAGCACACCAGGTATTGTCACACAGCATGACCAACAACAAACCTCCTCATTAAAAGATTTGTGTCCCTTTAGCAACTCACTCTTTGTTTAAACTCTGCTTTTGGTATGTTTGACCCTGTAAATCCTCCTGTATATAAGTACCAGAAAAAAATTATAAAAAAATGTGCCACTTTATAAGGTAAAATTGCATGTACAATTAACTGATAAAAAGGATATTAAGAATGCATAGATCATAAAAATTCCTCCAGAGAGAACAACACAAGTAAAATTGAGGGGATCTGGGTGTTCTGCACACATCCTTTGTGTGTAAACCAGCATATTTCTTGAGAAAAGTGCATAATCATGGTTCACAATCCTGATTCATGCCATCATCAGTTTGCCACAGTCCTTCTCAACAAGTACAAGAAAGATAGGGAATCCTACCCAATCCAGTCATAAAATGATGTCACCTCAATATGCCAGGCATCCCGCCCCCAGGTAGCTCTTGGAATTCAAGACAGAAATCCTCAGGTTGCTTTCCTACCTCCTGTGAAATGGAATCCTCATTCTTCTGAGCACGGAAAGATCCTCAGATTCAAGGAACTTCCTGCAGCATCTCAGTTTCTCCTACCCAATTCACACTGAAATTCAACCCTGCTTTATTAGYCCCATAAAGTAATAGTAAGGAATTTAGGGGACTAAACAGCAATTTTGGCAAGAGAAAAGCAAAWCTTGGGGGAAAGAAAACCTCCCTCTTTAATTGCTCCAAGACTCCAGAGGGATTAGGCTACAAGGGAGCAGAAGTATTTCCCATCACTCCCTCATCCACCACCAATATTCACATCGTAAATGAAGATTCCTTTTTTCCTGTATTATTGATGCTACAACCTGAAGGACTTTTTATGGTTCCAGCATAAAAACTGACTCTGAGACTCTTCACACACACATCACGAATCCTGACACATATTTCTTGTTACAAGACAGARAAGGATCTTCTTGTCCTCAGTTTTTACCCAATGTGCTGCCAGGAAGATTTTGGACCCAAAAATTAGGAAGACTGTGGTATCTGCCTTGCTGCTCTCATGGCAAAAGGGTGGCATTGGAAAGACTAAACACACCTTACATCCCAGAGGATGTGTATCAACACTTCCACAGCTGGAACTGATCCTGTACAACTTTCCCACCTAAGGATGTTTAATTACTTTTACAAACACAACTTCATTTAGTTAAGAAAAAAAAAAATCAATAAACAAGGAAAAGATGAGAACTCCATCACCCTCCCTGTTTCCCTGGCACTCCCCACATGGATAAACAGGATTGCCTGTGTCCTAGACACAACTCCATCCCTTTGTCACTGAAGCCTTTGGAACATCCATGCAAGCACGTCCAACATTTCTTATTTTTGGAGACACTCATAGAACCATCCCCTTCCAGGCAAATAAATCAAAGCTGCAGGAAATCCTATTTTAATCATGATTTGCATCAACACCCAATAAACTATGACTGAAATTAATCTTGTTTTGTGTTTATACTTTGTGGTTTCATAAAGAAGAYGCAGAATAACCACCAGTCTCTCTGCCTTTATTGCTATTGAATACTTTACAATGTGAGCAGTTTGTGTAAGCATGTGTTAYGTTTTCCAACATTTTTACTATAAAACCATAAAAGTTTCCAATTATTCCATGAAGGGCTGAATTCCTGATGATATTGAAGTACAGTTGAAGGGTGAAGAGGAGTTTTATTTAAATAATAACAGTATTTAAAATMCTTGAGATGTTTAATGAATAAGAAAATGCCCTCTACTCATTTTTGGCATTTAAACACTTCATCAAGATCRAGATGTTCCCTTATCARTTATTTCATTTTT